GGTACTGGAGAACTCCCACTATATTAACACTGAACCATTAACTATTACCCCTAGGGAACAGTCATCCAACAAGATCTGAATCGATCTAATTATGGTCTTACCCTATCTATATCTTTCCATCTTTTGCAGAACAGCTTTGCTAAAACCCTAGGAAAGAGATGTTCACCAAATTCCCCTCATCTACAAGTGGAGTAAACAAACAACAAAAAAAGAGGTTAGTCCGGAATGACTTTGTTCTTGTTAAAAACCAGGCTGGCCCCTTTATAATCGCCACACTCCTCTTTAGATGTTTGCCAATCATCTTTAAATGCCCTAATCTAGAATTGTTCCAGAAATCAAAGTCAAGCTTACTTGCCTTTAGTTTTTGAATTTTGTTCTCTTCTTTCTAAAATGCAGGGAACATTCACCACTCCCTCATCTTTAAGCAGCTGTTTTATTTTGGGTGATCTTTCAAAGATCTCTGATAAGAGTTCCGCCATCATATAAGCCAATTCTTTCAGGACCCAAGGGTGGGAGTCACTTGGTCAGGCTACTTGAATTTAAGAAGGTGAGTGGAGCGCTGTCTTGCTATCTCCCTTCTTACCACGGGAATCAACGCCCCATTAGTCATTTTTGTCCTGTCATCTCCCGTATTCGTCTTCAGCTGTAATGACAATAACAATGCATATTTGTACGGCACTGTGAGGTTTGCCAAGCCCTTCCCTTCCAATCATCCTGTGTGCCAAGTAGAATAAGCATTATTTATCACCACTTGATAGATGAGGAAGCAGGCAGAAAGGTTGAGAGACTTGCCCAGAGTCACAACTAGTCAGATAGAAGAGGCAGGATGAGATTGATTTGTAAGATTTCTTACAAGCTTGAAGGTCTATGAGTGTGTTAAAGGCAGGAAAAAACCTCAAATAAAGCAACACTTAGAGTCAAATTAAATGGAAGAAACTCAGAACTCAGGAGTTTGAGATTGCAAAGAAAGGGCTAAATTTATGAATCTGATGTGTAACATCAGTCAAACACTCCTGAAGACTACCTTGATAAGCATCGACTTCTTTTTTAAGTGACGAGTTCCTCGAAACAGAAACCACAAATTTGACATTCACCAATTGCAGTGAAAAATCGTTTTTGTTGTCACGATGAATCTTTTGCAGGCCTGGTGATTTTGCAAGTTTCACCCTAAAATGGCTTTGTCAGGTATGCTAGGGGACACAGCTTGCTCTAATGATAACAGTGCTTTAATTTGAAATCTAAAAATCTGACTTCAAATCCTGCCTTTGATACTTTGTAGCTGAGTGACCTTGGGCAATTTTCTTAATCTCTCTGGGCCTCAGTTTCCTCAGCTGTAAAATGAAAGGGTTAGATTTTTAGCTTAGAAAAGACTTTGAACAGCTGCAGAGTGCCCAAAGCAAAACAACCAAGATGAGGAAGGACTTCAAAGGTATACATTTTGAGAATTATTTGAAGGACCCTGGGGGTGTTTAACAAGAAGAGAAAGTTTAGGGGCTCCTAATAGCTGTCTTTGAGTATTCAAAGGACTGCCATGTGGAAGCAGGATGAGACTTGTCCTTTTTGGCCTCAGAGAACACCAGAGATGTGGTTGTTCAGCTTGATGACAGGAAGTTTCCTAACAAGGAAACAGTTTAAAGTAGACTGGCCTGCCCTCTTCTTTGGCAGTCTTTAAGCAAAAGATGAATGGCCAGTCACTGAGTGTCTTATAGATGGGGTTCTCTTTTTTTAGTACTAGATAAGATGGCCACGAAGGTCCATCCAACTCTGGAACCCTATGATCTGATGACTAAATGAACTCTAGGTCCTCTCCAACTAAAGATCTAAGATGTCATGAATCTCCCTGTTCTAAAAATGCCACGTCATGGAATATTTACAAAGAGCCAAGACTGACCCCAACTTAGTGGCAGAAGGTGAGATTCATTTCAAATGAAATGTTTGATATTCAACTTTCTGGAATCTACTATTCATTAGAAGAAGCAGCAGGGGTAGTGGAAACGGCACTGGATTTAAAGTCAAGGGATCTGGTAAAACTCTTCCTCTGACACATTAACAACTCACTTAACCTCTCTGAGTCTCAGTTTCCTCCTCTGTAAAATAGGGCTAATACCACTTTACTCCTTACTTCCCAGGTTTCTTGTGAGGAAAACACTTTATAATCTGTAGGATAGTATGCTAATGTGAACTATTGTTACTAACTGTGCCATAATCAGAAGTTGGCACCCAGCCAACATTCAGGTCCTTTGTGAAATGTGCCTCAATTAGAAGGGAGAGCAGGGAGCAAAGTGAGATCTCAGCCTGGGCAGCTTCTAAATCTCACCTCTAGGGGTGGTCAGTCCACATCAGGGCTGAGGTACACTAGTGAGGGGGAGGACAGAACATGTAGCTAGCCCCGGGGATGTTTGTACATTATATGATCTGTAAATAGAGAACTTCATTCTACACAGCCAGGGGTCTTGGCCCATTTACCAGATGAAGGCTTACTGGAATTTTTCAAAATAACTCTAAAACAAACAAACAAAAGCACAAAACAATCTACTATTGTCTCTGAGAAAATGAATGAGAAATCGCAATTCTCAATCGCATTCTCAAAGACAAGAAGGAGTGGGATGTAATGGGTAGAGTCAGAAAGATGAGGGTTCAAGTCCCACCTTGGCCTCCCCCTGACTGTAGGATCTTGAGCAAATCCTTACCCTCTCAAGAGCTCTAGGCAACTCTAGGTCATAGGGGGCAGAGAAGGTTCTGGCCAGGGTTGGTGGAGATTCTTCTACCAATGAAATCATCTGGAAGAGGCCCAACTCCCAGTGAACTTGTATAAACTGACATAGGGGAAAGCAGCCCCTTCATCTACAAAGTCTTTGGTCAACAAATAAACAGACATTTATGAAGTGATAGTGACTATGGGCCAGGTGCTGCTAAGTGCCAGGGGATACAAAGAAAATTAATGACCCTCTGACCCTCCGGTAAGCCAAGTCAGGAGGGCATTATACTCAATAGCCACAATAATCTACATGACAATGCCATGAAAAGGAGCCCACACTCACATTCGTTGCAATGTCCTAAGTTGGTCCCCTAGAGCAGCCAATGAAAGGCACTTCCATGCTCCTTAGAGAGATGGGGGACGGTGGGTACAGAATGGCTTATGTGTGGTCAGATGCAGTGGCCCTTGCAATCCCTGCCTAAGCTAGCCAGATAGGGATAGGTGGTCTCAAAACAGCAACAACAAAACCCCCAAACAGAAAAACACAGGAAGTGAAGGGAAATTGAAATTTAGCTATGTGTCTTTCTCTCTACCTGGACTGTCCGTTCTGAACCCCATCCAAATCCTGCTTGCCTTTCAAGACCCACAGGATAATAGATTTAGAGTCGAAAGGAACCTCAAAAGTCATCTAGTCTGACCCCATCATTTTAAAGATAAGGAAACTGAGATCCAGGTGAAATGACAGTAGTAAGGTCATTCAGACAGTAAATACCAAGCTGGAAATCAAACCAAGATGCTCTGGCTTTAAGCTACCTAGGCTCACCCACTTCTCTGAAGATTTTTGGAGAGATGCTGCCAGCATCTCCCTCTCTCCCTCCTGCCCACTCATGACATTTACTCTACTGGGTCACTCAATGGAATATAAATACAAAATACTTGTAAGATATAACTACTCCTTCCCTCAAGAAGAGAGAGATGGACACACACACACACACACACACAGAGAGAAAGAGAGAGAGAGAGAGAGAGAGAGAGAGAGAGAGAGAGAGAGAGACAGAGAGACAGAGACAGAGAGACAGAGAGACAGAGAGAAACTACAAGGCATGCAACCATAATAATTCATTGCCAAATTTGATGCTGTTATCTCTGAATGTACTGGGGAAAGTTCATGTGGGATAGAGGAGTCAGGAAAGAATTCATGGAGGAAGTTGAATTAAGTTGAGCTGAGCTGGCATATAATGAGCTGTATATAAATGATAGCTATTATTCCAAGAGGAGGGATTAGTGTGGGAAAATACATGGATAGATTCAGAGAAAACAGAGAAGACTTGTATGAACAGATACAAAGCGAAGGGAGCAGAACCAGGAGAACAATGTTGATATCAACACAGCAAGGAAAATCAACTCTGAAAGCATGAAATCTCTAATCATTGCTATCACCAACTATGACTCCTAAGGGCCAAGGTAAAGTATATTACCTAATCCTGACGAGTCATCAATAGTGGATGAAAGGTACAGAATGGGACATAATTTTCAGACATGCTGATGTATTGGGAAAGGAGTTACTTGAGGGAAGGATATAAAACTAAAGGGGGTTGAGGGAGGGTAATGACAGTGTTACCAAAAAAAGAAAAAGAAAGAAAAAGAAAATAGCATCAATGAAATATTAAAAAGAATTCTTAGAACAGAACAGCAGGTGATTCAGAGGCAGGCACAGAGAAATGGGACAGTTTTGAAAATATGTTGAATTCATTATATTTTAAAAAAGGAAAAAAGCTATACACGCTGGACATTCATGGTTTCAAAGGTAGTCTTTTTTTGATTCTTTGTTTATGGAAATGTTCATGTTTCTTGGTATTTGTCAAGTTCAAGATAAAAAAAAAATTCATTTAAAAAAATACTTTTCATGAAAGGAAACCCACTGTCTCCCAAAGCATCCCTTCCTGTCCCCTCCCCTCCCCTCCATAACCATAGTCATATATATTGTCATCACACAATATGGTTGTTGCTGTGTACAGTGTTGTCCTGGTTCTGCTCATTTCATTCACTCAGCATTAGTTCATATAAGTCTTTAGCAGTTTTTCTGAAGTCCATCTGCTCATCATTTCTTATAGCACAATAGCATTCCATTATATTCATATACCACAACTGGTTCAGCCATTCCCCAATTGATAGGCATACCTTCAATTTCCAATTCTTGGCTACCACAAAAAGAGCTGCTAGAAATATATTTGCACTTATGGGTCCTTTTCCCATTTTTATAATCTCTTTGGGATACAGCCCTGGAAGTGATATTGCTGGGTCAAAGGGTATGCACAATTTCATAGCCCTTTAAGTACAAATGGAATCTCAATATTCTCCTGCTGAAGAAACTTGTCCTTCTTGACTGACTCCCCAATCTCAAGGTCAGTGCACCTCCAGGTGCCAGGAGTCACAGTCACATATTTAAAGCAAGAAAAGACCTCAGAATCAACTGTTCTTGTCCTCTTATTTTACAGATAAGGAGGCTGAAGTCCAGCAAAGCAACTTACCCAGGATAAGAGCTGATAAATGGTGAAGTTGAACCCTCCCCCCCCCCCCCCCCCCCCCCCCCCGCCTATTGCAATAGTTTTCTGGCTGGCCTCTCTGCCTCCAGTCTCTCCCTAGTTTTCTGGCTGGCCTCTGTGTCTCCAGTCTCTCCCCCTCCAAACCCTCCTCTCCTATCTGCCAAAGAGATTTTCCCAAAGTACACATCTGACCATATCACTCTTTATTCAATAAATTTCAGTGGGAGCAAATATAAAATCTTCTGGTCAGCTTTTAACACCCTTTAGAACCTGGCTGCTTCCTCCCTGTCCTTATTCCTCACTGCTCTTACTTCTCTCTCACCTCCCCCGACGCTGTTTTTCCTTACCTGTGACAGTGTTGACTGACTCTGAACGATTTCACTGGCTCTCCTCCGTCCCTTATGATCTCCACCTCCTGGCTTCCCTGCCTGCCTTTGAGCCTCAGCTAACGTCCCACCATCCTCAAGATCCCGGTCCTCTTTAATCCTCCAATACCACCTCCAACTTATCCTCTGTGTGCATGGTTGTTTGCATGATGCCCCCCGCCCCATTAGACTGGGCACTCCTGGGGAGCAGGGACTGTCCTTTGCCTTTTTTTACATCCTCAGCCCAATGCCTGCCATTGAGCAGGTTCCCAAGAAATACTTGTTCATGGACTGACTGGGACAGTAGGCAGCATATCATCATTTCTCTTTCACAAATGAGTCATCAGTGGGTTAAGGCAGCCCCTGCCCTAAAGTTAATATGGTCTTGGACTGTGTGAAGTGCTGCTAGCTCATTGGACTAAGAAAGCAAGAACTCAGCAGGATATCCTGTTGTACCTCAAGAACAGAAAAACTGAATTCAAATCCTGCCTCAAACTTTTACTAACTATGACTTTGGCCAAATTGTTTAACCTGTTTCAGCCTCAGTAACCTCATCCGTAAAATGGGGAAAAAATAGCACCTGCCTCAGAGAAACTTTATAATGTGTATAAATCTTCAGGTCATCTACCTAAATGCTTACCAGTAGTATTTGTAGCTCTGTCTATACTGCTGGTAAGAGGCAGAACCAGAGCCAGGGTCTTCTGCCTCTTAATCTAAGACATTACACTGTCCCATTCTGTCCTCCTTCAAGTTGGGCAAGAATGATACCATCTGGGTCCCATTAAATAGCTCACACTTGCCCCAGTCCCTGCTGCTGGCACTACCCAACTCCCAGGATTCCAAAGGATGAATCATTGACCCTAGGGATACACACACCTCCCCCCCCCCAACATGGCAAAGTTGGGAGTTTCACAGAATCACAGAGACAGTAAAGAGCAAAACAAACTTTCCCCTAACAGGAGAGGAAGGGTGTCTTCCTCACATGATCAGTCCCAAACATCTTGACTATTCCAGGAAACATTATTGCCTAACCTTTTCAGATAGATACTGAGACATCTAGTTCTACAAATCTGGGGCAGAATTTGGAAGCCAGGAAGCTCCACACCCCAGTTTGTTCAGCAAGGGAATCCCATTACACTTTGGCCAACATATTTCTTCCCAAGCAAACAGATGTAGGGTAGTGGAACCTTCAATAAGGCTTGGGAAGTAAGTGGTGAAGACCCTGGAAAGACTCCCAGACTCTTTTCTAGTCCCTGTCCTGCCTTTCAGAGGATCCTTTGTGCTGTTGGGTGAGAAGACTTTTCAAACCCTGAAAAGAAACTCTGTTAACATTAGCACCTGCCCCAGTGCAGCCTCCTTCGAGCACAGATTTTCCCTCTTTGACATTTTTGGTAGCATGGCCACATTGCCATCCAGTGCTTACTTTGACCTTGCGCAATGTTGGAGAGCTTGCCTCCTTTCCAGCCTGGCCTCCCTGATTGGTGGAGTGGAGGGGTGTCTTCATGGTGTGATAGGAGGGGGGTGGGTGCCAAAGGGCTTCTCAGGCCAAAAGTATGTCCCTCATCAGCCTGACTTCATGCCTAAAATTTTCCACCTTGTCCTTTTCCTTTATTAGAAGCCAATATTTTACCTGGGTTAATGGCTGATGGTTGTTTTATTTGGAAGGGGTACATGAATTAATTAAAACAGCCAAGATTAGCACCCCTTGTCATGTGGCAGAGGAGAGGGGGAAATGCAGTGGGAATGAGTCACGGGAGAAGCTTGGATGGGAGAGAGGGGGTACATGAATACCACTTCAGGGGCGGTTGAAATTATCTGCCTACAGGCAGCTGGGTGGCAAGATAGATAGAGCACCAGCCTGGAGTGAGAAAGAACTGAATTCCAATCCAGCCTCAGACAGTTACTAGCTATATGACCCTGCGCAAGTCACTTAAATTTTGTCTGCCCTAGTTTCCTCAATAATAACAGCACCCACTTCACAGGCTCATTGTGGGGATTAAATGAGATGTTTGTAAAGTGCCTGCCATGGTACTTGCACACAGTTGGGGCTTAGTGAATGTTTATTTCCTTCCTTAGGAAGATTCTAACCCCCCAGATGCCCTCTCACCTGCTCTCTGATGCCTAAATTCCCTTAACAGGAAAACCCCACAATTTTTACTTCCCCAATTCCAGTTTTGGAAGGAAATCTGCACGTTTGAAGGTTAGTCATGTCCCAGTGTGACAAACATTTCCCCCAACACAGGCACCACCCATTTCCATCTGGGGCTCAGCTGATACTGCTTCTTTACAGATGGCTAGGATGGAGTTAGAAACGCCCTATACCAATACAGATTGGCACCTGCCCTTCCACTTAGAGTCTAAGAGAGCTGCCCAGAGACCTGAGCAGTCAAATGGATTGTCCAGGGAACACAGCTCATGTGTTGGAGGGGGAATCTGAGGCCACAGATGTGTGGGTGTGTGTACATATACATATGTGTGTGTGTGTGTGTGTGTGTGTGTGTTTACACATACACATTTGATTGTAGGGAGGATTGAGTCTAACTCCTCAATTTACAGGTGCAGAAACTATAATCCAGAGAAGATGGCAGCCGGTCCAGGGTCACCCAATGGGGATATGCCAGAAGAAGCACTTGAATCCACTGTTTCTGGATTGGAGGCTGGCTTTCCAGACACCTCCTGATGCTGCCTCTACTACAATCTCGCACATGAATAGAGAGCTTAAGCACACTGTGCTCTGGAGTGGAAATACCCAGACGTGTACATGGTTGGCTTCGACTTCTCTCTTGGAGTGGGGGGAAGGGAGGTGCCCAACTCCTCGGAGCCTTTTCCCCTTTACATATGACCTCAATCCTTCCAACATTCCCATTTCTCCTTGTTCGGAAGGAGCTCAAAGCTCAGCTCTCCAACGGTTAATTCTATTCAATCTGCCTGCTGTATGGATCCCATTCCTGAGCACTAGAGCCCAGGGAATTCACTCCAAATGTACCCGAGCCAGACACTTTGACCTCCATTGAATTGAGAGGAAAGTGTGAGCTAAAAGAAAGGTCCTTCCACGTAGAGTCAGTGAAACCTGACTTCACAAGCTGCCCTTGCCACTTGCCAGCTGAATGACCTGGGGCAAGTGATCACCTTTCTGAGCCTCAGTTTTCTCATCTGTAAAATGGCACTAATAATGCCTAAAGTATTTCTTAGGGTGGTTGTGAAGATCAGACAAAATCACATACTTTAATTGCCTTACAAATGTTAGGTGCAACAATATCATTATTATTAACTTATAATAATATGGTATCGATAATATTAATACTATTGATATTATTACCATTATTTATTAAACTGGAAGGTTTGGAAAAGCGCAGAGAAATGCCGGAAGAGCAGCAATAGACAAGCGATGGGGACTGAGCACAGGCATCATCCATCATCCATCCGCCCCCCCAACAGGAAGAGTCATAACCAGCACCTGACTTTACCGCCATTGGCCATGGCACCAGGGGGAAGGCTCCCAGGACAGTCAGTTGGCTTACGTGTGCAGAACAGCTGACCATAGTCAGCCTCATCACTCAATCTGGCCCTTGGGAAAACAGCTTCTGTGTACAAAAACAACTTCAGATCTATGAAGAAACATCACACACACGTATGCACACAGGCACAAACACATACACACAATACACATACATGCATGTGCACACACACCTGCTCTTTGTTTGTCTTGTCAGTCTTACAGAATCACATAACTGGAAAGTGTCCTAGATTATGAACTAATTATTAAATTAATTATACTTATTGTTATCAATCATAGTGTATGATTATTTTGGCACTGCCCTAAGCAATCCCAGTTAAACTAATCATCAAACTTTGTAAAATGTTAGGAACAACGATAGCATCTAATACTGGTCTGTCTTTTTAAGATGTACAGAGGGCCATTTTTCCTAAAAGTCCTGGGGTGGGGGAGTGCAAGTATTATTGTGCTGCCAGTATAGAGAAAGACCCTGAAGTTCAAAGAAATTGATTGACTTGCCTGTAGTCATACAAGCAATAAAATCAAAACAGCTCCCTCTTCTAGAGTTATAAGGTTACATTGTATCTCACTGAGCCTCATGATCACCCTGTAAAGGAAGTGCTATTACTATCCCCTTTTTTAATAGAAATTAGTAAGTGTCAGGATTTGAACCCAGGTCTCCAGCATTCAAGCCTGGTGCTCTTTCCACTACCAACAGCTGTAATAATAGTTGATGTTTATAAAGCCCTTTCCAAAGTGCTTTAAGAACGATATTTCATGTAAGTCTTACAACAACCCTGTGACCTTCTGAAAGGTATAATAGTTCCCATTTTACAGAGGGGGATATTGAGGCTCAGAGCCATTAAATGTCTTGTCCAGGATCACAGGTGAATGCCAGTGCCAAGGCAAAAACCCAAATTATGCTTAGCGTAGCAACACACAGTTGGTATTTATGAAGGGAGGGAAGGGAAAAAAAAGTTGCACAATAATTTTATTATATATTTAAAGGGAAAAGAAGTTGTATATAGTAAATTTGCCATTTCATGTGCAGTCATCTTTTTTTTTCCTATTCTACTATGTTGTGGATGTGCTTATTTTATTTCTAAAGCTCAGAGTAAAATAAATTTAAAAATATATGCTAGTCGACTGATTCTAAGGAGTTTTTAGGTGGCTCAGTGGGTAGAGGACTAGACTTGGAGTCAGGAAGAGCTGAATTCAAATGCCAACTCAGATGTTTATTTGCTGTGTGATCCTGGGGCGAGTCACCTAACCTCCCTCGGCCTCAGTTTTCCCATCTGTAAAATGGGTATAGTAATAGCACCTACTGCCTAGAGTTGTTGCAAACTGTTTGGTTAACATTACAGCAGTCTGGAAATGTTAGCTATCTACTATGCCACACTGCCTCTGTGGGCCTCAGCTTCTCTGCTTGTAAAATTAGAGGTTGGGGACTGAGTAGTTTCTGGAACTCTTTCCAGTGGTGACTCTGTGAGACAGAAGACAATTAAGGACAGGTGTGTCTCTGTATGTGTGCAAAAATGTGTGTGCAAACATGTATGTGCGTGTGTGTGCATGTGTGTACATGGGTGTCTATGGAGTGGGGAAGGCAGAGAGGAAGCAGAGAAAAGGGACACACTAGAAAGTAAATACAAGGTCATTTGAGGCAGCCAAGAGCCTTCCCATGTGGGAGAAGCTCTTCCCCTTGTGCCCTGGCTTACACCATAGCAGGCATCCTTTGGCAGTCAGTTGGTGAAGCGACAAACCACTTCTCAGAACGACGATTTTAAATACGTAAGATAAAATACACAGGATTACAAGGACAACTCATTATGTTGACATCATTATCGATTTTTTTTAAAGCCCATGGCCTTCAGGTTAAGAAGTTTTGTACCAAAGCATGGCTTGACTCAGTAACCCCCCTTTTCACAGCTAATGTAAAAGCAGACATGCAGGCCATTGTTGGTCCTATCCTCAACGTCTCTCCAGCTTTGCAGGACCTGTCAGCCTCTGTTCACTGTTGGCCTTGCCTCTGAGAGCCCAGGGTCCCCAAATGCCACAGCAGGGCATCGGAATGGGACTTTAACAGAGAACTGAGTAAGCTGTTCCTGCTTCTAAACTCAGCAGTTAATGGTGTGCTAAGTGACAGTCACAGAGCCTCAGCACTGGAAGGATCCTCAGTAACCCATCCTGCCACTGAGTCACCAAAGGTGAAGGGGCCTCAGGGTCCACTGTGCAGGTGAGGAAGCTGATGTCCAGAATGGGAAATGACTGACCCAAGAACACAAAGTAAGTGAGTGGCAGAGCCAGGATCTAAGCCTGGGTCTCTGGCCCCAAACCCAGCCAGAGCCCTTTCCATTGAGCCTCCCTGCTTCCCCCACTCGGAGGGCCGGATGGCATTCCTCTTGCCTTTGTAATGTTGGTGCCAGAAGCATCTGCGGCTTGCAAGGGACATCTGGAAAGGGTTGTTTCTTTCTTTTTCTATCGATCTAATGCTTCAGCCAATACAAAGAAGCCTCGCTCATTTGGCTCCAGCTTTTTCAGACTCGTGACCCTTCTTCCCCAGGAGAGAAAGGACATTGCTTTCGCACAATCCAAGCAAAAAAAGGGGTTTATGGAGTCAATTAAACATTGAAAAAAAAATAAGGCTCCGGAGGACAGAGTTTCCTCCAGTTGTTCAGATTCTCCTGCCTCCACTTACCTTACATTCGATTGCGTATCTCTCCTTCCTCCTCAGCCCTCATCCCCACAATGCCCCATGAAAGGTGAATGCTGAGACAGGGAAGAACATTTCATTTTTTTAAAGTAGTATCCTCAGCACCTACTAAGCGATCTGCACATAGTAGCCATTTCGTATATGATTGGTGTTGAACTGAATGACTTGAAAGGCAGGATCATGGGTTTGGAGCTGGAAGGGACTTTGAGGCCGTCTAGTGTAATGTTACTCCACTCTTCATTTAATAGAATCTGGCTCTTTCACACAAGGTAAGCCCTTTGATAAGCACATTCCATTCCTGAGTCCTATCTTATTCGGGCTCAGTGATATCTATGAGGCTGAATTTAACTCCTTGCTTTAAATCTCCAGTTGACCTTGTTTATAAGCCATCATTTGCCTGTCTGTAGGTATTGCGTGGATTCCTGTTCAAATACGGGGTGACCTCAAGATCCTTCCCAATTCCAGCATTCTGTGACTCTACTGATGGCACATCCTTTGAGAATAGCATCAGGGGAGCAGTGGGTTTTGTGCCTTTAAGCATTATTTGTTTCTGGTTCAATCTCCAGGCATCCAAGAGTCAGTCACTGGTGTGAAGGAGAGCCAATGGCCAAGGCACCTAAGTCTATTCACAAAGTAAGTGAAAGATTCCACAAGATGGGGATGGAGTGATGGGAATCAGATATGGTGTGGGAAGGATGCCATGAATGAATGAAATAAAGAATAAATGGATGAAGAAAAATTTTATTAAGCACTTGTGATGTGCCAAAATTCTGGGGATATAAACACAGAAGTGAAGCCATTCTTGCCTTCTAGGAGCTTACATTTGAATGGGGCAGATAATCTACATAGGGGATGGTGGCTGGAAAGAGATATTTTGGTGTAGAAAGTTAAAGGAAAAGAAGGCTGAACCATGTGGCTTGACTCACCCTTTCCAGGAGCAAGAATGGTTGATTTGAATATGGTATTAGGATTAGAGAAGAGGGGATTGGGTTGACAGGAATAGAGGGGGAATAAAAAATGATCATGAGCAGAACAAGGAGACGGGATAAGTCAGGACAAGAATAGTGGCTGATGAAGAAACAATTTGACTGGAACATAGGACAGGCAAGGGGAGTAAGAGGAGATGGGAACTGTAGGGTGGAGCCAGGTGGCAGCCTGGCACGCCAGCCAGGATCTGTAGTTCATTGATTATTTGGTTGGTTTTTGAGTAAAGTGATGTGGTTAAATAAGAATACTATGAAGCCTACTCAGGCAGTGGTGGGAAGAATGGATCAGAGAGGAAAAAGAACGGAGGAACAAGGACCAATTAAGAGGCTATTATAATAATGGAGTCGGCCCTGAGATGTTCCAAATCACTAATAAAAGAAAAGCAAATCAAAACAACCTTGAGATTTTATGCCACACCCAACAAATTGGCAAAGAGGAAAAAAAACTACAATAGCTAATGTTCGAGGAGCCGTAGAAAGCTAGGTATTGTCAGTGGAACCGAAATGACCACTTCGAAAAGAAATGTGGAATTATGCAAATAAAGTGACTAAGATGATCTTAACCTTCGACCCAGAGACTCCACTACTAGGCATATACACCAAGGAAGCCATTGATAAGAAGAAAGTCCCCCTATACACCAAAATATTTATCACAGGACTTTTTGTGGCTAGCAAAGAATTGAAAACTACATAAATGTCCATTACTTGGGGAATGATTAACAAATGGTGGTATATGAATGCTGTGGAGTATTACTGTACTATAAGAAATGGTGGATGTGATGGATTCAGAGAAGCATAGAAAGAAGTGAGGCAAGAACGGAGTCAGCTGAGCCAAGAAAATAATTTATACAATGACCACTACAATACAATGGAAAGAATAACCACACACCCAAAATCAAAAGTGAGTAACACAACGATTTATACCGAGCGAGCACAGCTCTGAAGAAGAGAAGAGAGGAAAGCTCCTCCACTCCTTTGCACATGACTCCAAGGTTCCTTCCAGAATGAAGTCTATGATTCTGTGATCTCGAGGGGCCCTTGTAGCTCTAAGTTCTAAGATGGGACCATCTTGGAATTCTCTGGCCCATCCCCTCACTCCTCAGCTTCGCAGAAATCTAGGCACCACATTGAAATCCTTCTTGACTTGGAGTATACTACATGGCAAGTTATATCAGTTCCAGGGACAAAGTAATGTAACGCTCAGATGTCACACCTTTGGGATTCTTGGACTGCTTGTCAGGAATCTGGGTTCGAATCCTGGCTCTGGCACTCACCAGCTGTGTAACCTGGCAGTGGCTACTGAACCTGACTCTCAATTTGCTCATCTGCAAAGTACAGAAAACAGTAGCTACCTCAGAGGATTGTTGTAAAGAAGGAGGCTAGGAAGCCCTAAAGTGGTGGATATTCCTATAATTTTAGCTCACGGTCTGCTGGAAAAGAGAGCCAGCCTTAGAGTCAAGAAGACCTAGGCTCCAGCTCCAAATGCCTGCCACATACTGGCTGTGTGAACCTGGACAAATCACAATCTCTCAGCACCCCAGAAAACACTTCAAGACTTTCATTATGCCATAGGATATAGCAGAAGGTGTGCCATGCCTTGGAGCTGGGAAAACCTTAGTGCAATCTTGCCTCTGAAATATACCGGTTTTGTGACCTGGGGCAAATCAATTAATCCAGCTCTTTAAGACTACATCACAGAGAGCTGCTGTAGCACTGGTGGAGGGGGTTTCCACACCAGAAGTTCCCCATACTGAAAAAGTCACAGGTCTGGTCACCCTTGCCTCCCAAGAAGGTCATTCTGATGTGTTAAGTCTAGGGAAAGGATGTTTCCTCCTCTGTAAAACTGAAGGGAGGGTAGAAGAGATCATTCTTAGGGTCCCTTCCAGATCTAAATCCTTTGATCCTATAATTCTATGAATACACTCACCATTAATATCCACACTTCATCAGATTCTTTTCATTACACTCTTGATCATAAAATCTTAATTACTTTGTGATCCTGGCACATTATGTCAAAGGCCTAGGGAATTTTTGCTTTGAGCCTCTAAGGAATCTACTACTTAAATGGTTATTCAGCCTAACTTTCACCACGGCAGAGATTTAGATGGGACCTCACAAATCTCCCTGCACCTCTTCATTTTACAGATACGGAAACTGAGGTCCAGGGAGGGAAGTAACCAATACAATAAGGTAATCAGTACGACAGAATTCAAACCCAGGTCCTCTACTACCTTTGTCTGGGCCGTCCCCTTTGCCTGGAATGCTCTGACCCCTCCCCTCTGCCTCCTGGCTTCACACTCAGCTCCTATCTCACCTTCTGCAGGAGGCCTACCTGGTGTCCAGCTGCAAATGGCTTTCCTCCTCTGATCTGTCTCTGTCAGTCTGGGAGAGTCAAGGTCCCCTTTGGAGTTTGCTCATTTCTGCTTTTCTTGCATCCTCCGTGCTTGGGACTCACCGATGGACCCAGCCCACCACCATCTTTCCTTTCTCTGAAAAAAGGCCTCTTTGCCAAGATGTCTGCCTCAGTTTCCTCATCTATAAAATGAGCTGGAGAAGGAAAGGGCAAACCATGCTAGTATCTTTGCCAAGAAAACCTCAAATGTCGTCATGCAGAGTCAGACGTGACTGAACGATAACAAAATTACCAATATGAAGAAACCTTAGTCACTTTATTTTAAATCTATTTTGCTCAAAATATGTTTAAACAGTTAGAAAAGAAAGCAAGAATAAAGTCCCTTTAAGAACTCACTTTTTTAATTGACAGAAGAAGCAGCTTCTGGGTGTGACAGAGCCTGGTTAAAGTGTAAGTTTACCCTTTAAATCAGGCTGTAAAACCCCAGAAACTGAAGAGAAATCATAAAAAGGGTGTGAAGTTCTAAGCCTTGAAGAGTTTATGTAAACAAGGGATTCCAACACTAAATAAAGCTTCATTAAAAGAGGGGGTGGGGGAGGAGAAGCCAGGAAGAGAGCCTGGCTGGTCAGAAGTGATGAAGGCCCCTCTGCCTTCTGGAATCCAGATAAAGGGAAATGCACTTGATGGTGGGAAGGCGACCCTCTCAGGAGAAGGTGCTTCATTTCTTTAGCCTGATTCTGAGCCCTGAGAAGAGAGGGCAGAGAGACAAAGAAAGGGCTAGACAGTGGAGCTAGAGGCCTGGCTCTTCAGCCTGTGCAGGGCTGGCAGCCGGAGCTGCTGGACAGCCCCTCTCTGCAGCTAACTAGGAGACAGTCAAAGCCAGGCCCCCCTCTGAGATGGGGCCTTTAAACAGAGCTCAGAAGGCTTCAGGCTCCTGAGGCTCCTCTCACAGAAAAGAGCCCAAGGAAGTCTGCAGCCAAAGATTACCTGAAGGCATTCCTAGCAAACTGCCATGTTGGACTAATTGATTTTGTCCCTTCTACACTGAGATTTTAAAAATGTATTCTCTGTTTGGGATGAAGGAGAAAACAAGCATGTAAGCACCTACTGCATGCCGGGCACTGTGCTAAGATCTTTACAAATATTATGATGGTGCCCACCTAGAACTGGACCTTACACCCAACCAGAAAGTAGTTAACTGGTGTTTCCTCTCCCTTCAGTGCCCCAAATTTATTTGTTCTTCCTTAGCAGATGAACTCAGAGGTGAACTTCCTTAGTTCCTCCTCTCTATTGTTACACCTCTCGGTAATTTTACTCATCCTTTCTTCCTTTCCTCCACTCTCAGACACAGTCCTCCACCTTGCCAATGCTAACCATTACACTGACACATTGATCTTATGCCCCATCCTTCTAAGAGCTGCCAGAATTATCTGCCTAATGAAAAATGTTGACCTTTTATTCCCCTGATCAAAAATCTCCAGTGACTGACTCTTTTTTTAAAAATATATTTATTTATTTTTGGTTTTCAGCATTCACTTCCATGAGCTTTTGAGTTTTAAATTTTCTCCACCTCCCTCCTCTACCCCCTCCTAGGACAGCTCACAGTCTGATATAGGCTCTACTTACATAGTCATATTAAACATATTTTCACAGTGGTCATGATAAAAAGAAGAGTAAGAACTAAAGGGAGGAACCATGAGAAAGAAGAAACAAAACAAAACAATAAAAGAAAAGGAGAGCAAGTAGTACACTTCCATCTGCATTCAGACTCCAAAGTTCTTTCTCTGGTTGTGGATAGCATTTTCTTTTGATTTGAAAGTCTTTTGGAGAGGTCTTAGATTCTTGCATTGCTGAGAGGAGCAAAATCAATCAAAGTCAGTCATTGCACAATGTGGCTGTTATTGTGTACAATGTTCTCCTAGTTCTGCTCACTTCATTCAGCATCAGTCCATACATTCCCAGTTTTTCTGAAGTCTGCTCATCATTTCTTATAGCACAATAGTATTCCATTACATTCATATACCACAACTTGCTTAGTCATTCCCCCAATGGATGGGCATCCCCTCAATTTCCAATTCTTTGCCAACACAAAAGAGCTGCTATAAATATTTTTGTACATGTGGGTCCTTTTCCCATTTGTATGATCTCTTTGGGATACAGCCCTAGAAGTGCTATTGCTGGGTCAAAGGGTACGCACATTTTTATAACCTTTGGGCATAGTTCTGATGGGGTGCTTGGGTGCTTATGTTTGGGTGCTTGTACTTGGACCCCAATTTTTCCCTAGCCTCAGAAAC